AGCAGCCGCAGCAGAAACAGGATCTTGTTGCTTTTATGTGCTCAACGATGGGCAACTAAGAACCTTATGGGTCTCTTCCATCTGCTCTTTTAGTTTAGATTGCAGTCCCTAGTAATTGACAGCAGTCGATATCGGGGTCTGCGGAGGGACTGCATAAAGGATTGTTAGATTCTGAAGGAACAGTGCCCCATTTGCCGTCTACTGCTGGAACCGAACGACGACACTAAGCTAAGTGGTCATGCTCTGAAACTGACAATACAGTGTAACGGCCTGGAATGCCGTAGAAATACTTTGTATTTCGAGTGTCTCCTAATTACAAAAACGATTTAACGAAGCGTTGTCTGGTAATTCATTTTATAACTTGTGTTATCCAGCGGACTACATAACGCGACCAAACGGTATGCTTGCAAAATTCCAATTAATGGAGTTGTGAATTTCTACTTTTAATACGCGGACATCTCCGCTCGCCTTAATGTCTACAGTGATTTCACCAAAGCGCTTTTTATGTTGTCATGAATTTTAATTTGCGCAATAATTTCCATGCCATAGACCTTGTTAAGTATCGCTTTTTTACCCGTAGTACACCGTTGTTCCATTGTTTTATCTGACGTGATACAACATACCAGTATTTAAGTGGGGTATTTGTGTTTGACTGCGTACGAACATTGGTGTAAGGGACCAATCCGAGTGAGACATGCGTAGCCAACGATCGGTGGGTAAACATCTCCCAATGTACGGCATCGTTAAACTGCGGAAAACTATCCTGAACCAAGGTGTTTTCATCCAACCGTCAAGTAATGTGCTTGTACTTGAAACTATTTGAAACTTGAAACGAAGACAATGAGTATCATTCTCTACGAACCAAAAGCGGTGGCGTTGCAATAAGACTCGATGTTTCCAAGGCATGGCCATGAGGGTTGCAGCCGATATGAGCGAATCAACACGGCTTTGGAGACTTGTTAGGGTCTCCAAGTAACCCAAACTTATTGAGTTTGGCTTGGATTAGCTATATATGCTATTTACGTTGTAAGTGAATACAGTTGGCAAAACTGAAGTAGTTAGGCAGTTCTCTTGAACCGTTAGTCATCTAACTGCAATATATACCAACCTGTATGGCTAAATGCCTTCGACGGTTTGACCTCGACCCCAAAGTCATGATCCTGCTCCACAGACATTGGCGCTTGTTACCACAGCCACTAAGGATATTTTTCGCCGTCATAAAAGTTGAACTAAACGGATTGATTGTATGATAGAGTGCAGATAACACAACTATGTTCCTTCAGATATGGAACGTTTCGCTATTGACACAAAACAAATTATTTCGAATTTACGCTTTTTAGCGTGCTCGGACGACGTATGTTGAACCCTGCCTCGCACCGTCGAGGAACATATCATGCTTTCCGTTAACTGCTACATTGCACCAGTTTTTAATGTTGACTAGCAGCAGAACGACTGTCCATAGAATGATACTCGGTAGGGTGTGTTGAAAAGAGTGTGTTTTATGCTGCAATTCGCTGCTAATCCATGATCAAGGATCATAGGAGGGAAAGTGGATATCAACTTAACTAGGCGTCAGCTACGCATTTGTGGATGAACCAAATGTATTGCAACACCCCCTTAACCAGACTTCTGCGTCAGGATTAAATCGGTTAATTGCCTGCCGGTCGGTAAGCTACCACGTGCAAACGTAGCTGACAGATACTGGCAGCGATACGTGTGTAGTGTGAATGAACACATTGGTCCATTGAAATATACAATAGCAGAGAGTGGACGTCATTACTTGTACAGAGTAAGTGCTTAGGGTATTTACAAATGCCTACTTTTGATATGTACTCCGGTTTTGCTCTGATTATCCATAGCTTGCGCTACCAGTTTAGTACAGGCCATTTGAGCAATTTATAGAAGAAGTCGGCGCGGTGTGTTCAAATTTAGCTGGATGGCAAACAGGAAGAAGTTGTAAGCAGTAGGGGATTTATTTGGTAGTATGTGCAGATTCGTCACAGTTAGACTCAGTCACTTTCCTGGATGTGTGGTGGCTGTGTACCTGAGTCTAACTGCGATGAATCTTAACAAGAAGAATTTATATTGAATCCGGCCACTAGCTTGAAACATTTTATTTTTAAACAACTAAGAGCACGATTATTTAAACTTTCTCTTATGACCAACGAGCTGAAGACAATAGCAGGGTATTGGCCTACCATATTCACTCAAACTATAGGACGAGATGAAATACACGAATAAAAGATATTACAAATTCTAGCACGTACTTGGAGTCGGTGTCTTCAGTAGCTGTTTTGGAAATGGACGCCCCAATATGGAACCGGGGTTGGATTCAACACGCACAGAATACGCGTAAACAGTGCAATCTGTCAAGCCGGTGAATGTATACTCTGTAGATAGAAAGGAGAGAGAGAGAGAGTGATAGCTTGTAGATTAGAGCCTCTGATTTAAAGAAGATCAAATGAAACAGAACGAACACTGACAAGAAGCGAGGACGAGGGAAAACATAGTGACTACGACATGTACTTCGGTGGTAATGTAACGCTTCATTTCCACTTATGCTTGGAAGGGAAACGGCGTACTTTAAGCTCGATTCCCAATTTTCCCGACGATTTCTCTCTATACCATTATACTGACCTGCCATGCCTACTGAGTTGTCTGCGTGTTCAGCCAAAATGTATTCAGCGCACTATTTTATGTATATGTGTGTGTGTGTTAATTTAGGAATAAGTGCCTCACATTCCCTCTGCTTTTTCTCGATTGTGAAGGATTTTGACAATGACACGAACGTAGTGATTTGTATATACTTATGTAGTAGGTATGTTCTTTACCAACTGGCGTTACTCTGAGGGCTACTTTCCTTTTTACTTCTGTTCTCACTTCTCGGAATTCAACGATAGTTGAAACAACTACGTAGGTTTGACAGGGTCAGGCACCCAAAGGGACATCAGGATGGACTGAAACTAATGGCGGTGCTGCAACGAATGCTCATATTGCAACAGGATCTACTTCTTGTATAACATTTTCTGCCTGCTTTGTGTCAAAAAGCTTTACTGTATCAGCAAGCGGATAGCATTTTTCAAACGCATACTTAATGGTTTAAATGCCCAACGAATTTATCGGCTGCCTATCCAAAACAAAGGATTCCAGATGCTTGTAGAGGTTAAATTTTCTCTGACGTTAATTTCTTTACATTACTTTAGGCAGCATGCTGAGTGAATAAAACCTTGGACGAGTTTCTTGCTTGTCATTGCTAGTTTGTCAGAAATGCAAACAATGAAGAGTTAAAAAGGTAGATTAGCAGGGTTGTGCGTGGAGCGCCATGTGGATGATAAGATTGGTGCACATGAGCAGCGTGAAACCGATAAACTAATGTTGCTGTGTGCACCATTCTGATTTTGGTCAGATATTTTGATATCTCCGATTAAAATAGCATGCCAACCACGTCTGTAGAAGATTTCGCAGGACGTATTCAGTTTAAGTATAGGTGAGTGACCAGTAAATATCTTGAAGAGAATAAGATGAGTCACTTTCGTAAGCAGGGAGGACGGAACGGAGAGACGGTCATTTTTTGGCCTCAAATGCACACGCGTTCGCATACCCAGGCGTTCTGGTTCCATTGCCATTTGGATATGGGTATTCACGCAACGAGACAGGTCCGGTAGGCTATTTCATAATGCTTTTGGAACAGGCGGTTAGTAATTCTACTCCTAACAAGAGAGCCAACTGTCTGAACGATAGCAAGTGTGCACCTAGTTTCGGTCAGTATTGATAGTAACTTAATAAGTAAAGTAAGCAGAAACCTTGAACTTTCCGAAAGCTACTGCGGGAAAATTCACTCTGCCACACCATATTGCATATCCAAGTAGTCTGCCATCCTCCAACAACTTCTTCGTAATAGGTTTTACGAATTAATCTTCTTAGTCAGTAGAGTCATACTTCATTTTTGATTACACAAATTGAAGGCTTTTCTTGGTGTATAGCGCCGGTTAATTCAGACAAAGTCAAAGTCATCTTGGTTCGGTAGGCAGCTTTCATGCGAGCTACTTTAGCATTCAAGTAGAATAGCATTTTCCTTGAGTGTACGGTGTTGGAGCACCCGCCGTGTATCATGGATTGCGGCACGCAGTTTCAAGTGTGGTCTTCCTTAACTCTGAATTCCTCCGCCTTGAACACTGGGACCCTGTCCAATGTGGAGCGTTTCGGTGCTAACGGCGATATCCGCCAACCACTATGTGCTGAGTTCCGCCCCCCAGCGCAGGTTTTCTCTACCTGATGTGTCCAAGCAAGGATGAAACACGTCGTGGAGTGCTTTGATAGGAGAGAGAGCAACACCGATAGATTTGCTTCATTTCGTGGCTTACCCCAACGCTAGTGATTTGGTATATACACCGTTTAAGTTCACCAATGAATGCGAAATCGACGCTGTATAAGCAAAGTGCAACACACGGTATGAAAACAGCAAAAAGATAATCAGCTGGTTATCTGCGAATAAGCGCATGTTTAGGATGGAACGCAGTAATTTATATTGCAGTATAGATTTAACTTCCTAACTATTATTATCGGCTTGAAGAAAGCAGTAGGTTGACTAAAACTCAATCTAATTTTAACACACCTACTTCTAAAGTTGGTTCACATTGTCTCTACTGGAGGGGTGTCAGCAGCCTGAATTTCCATCCATTTCATAACAAACATCATTTCGTAGGTACCTTGTTAAACTAGCTTTTGAAATCGCACCGGATAAATTTACAGAAGCGTCAAATACGTGCGTGTCCAGTGTGTAATATGAACACCAGTTCTAGAGTAAGTTGACAGCATTGTGTAGAGGGTTTGCATCCCGATTGTAATATTTCTTCGGATGATCTGCCCTACCTGTTAAGTTGCAATAGACGCGTTATTCATCCAACACAAATATGCACACTGGACGATATTTATGCCGCTCTCATTTGCGTATAAATCGGATAAGTTGTTTCAACTGGTACAGAAGAGTGTATTTCATGTTTGCAAAAAGAAACCATCATACTTACCGTGCTGCGTTATAGGTGTACGTAGTGTCTGCGTTGTATTCTGACCGATGGGCTGGTATTCTACTAAATAGTAATGTCTACACGCATGAAGAAGCTGGGGACCATCCCAAATGAGCCTCTGTGTGCCGACGCCAGTGTTGTGCAGTTCAACGAAATTTGGCTCCGCGGGTTCTGGAGACAGGGAAAAATGCAGGATTCGGTAATCCAGCTGAACACTTGCGCGAACTCTGCAGACAGGCGTACCATCGTAAACTAGAAATCCACTGTTAGTGTGCAAAGGACAATCGCGATTGTATGTTTTGCTCTAATGAACCAACCGTCCTTATCGAAACTTGAGAGCGAGCAAGCTTCCCCATAAATAAACCATCTTTTCGTGGGAATGGTAAAGACGCCGACCACTGGAATTAACAATATTTCCCTACATTCCCAGTGAAATGTTTGTTGACGTTTAGTTATTTTTGTCAGGAACTACTTGATGTACTGAACATAACGTCGTTGTTGGGAAATAATATTAAATGGACGATGCTTTTTTCATGTGCCTAAAAGCAAACTCGTGCAAGCGTTTACAAATGATAAACCCACAAGTTATAGATCAGATGCTATTGATTATTTACCTATCCATGACGATATGCACCGGACATTGTAAAAAACCTTTTACCACAGCGTTGACAAGTGATAACTATCTTAGTTGAATGCAGTCACATTTTCAGTCAGGAGAAACTAGTGCAATAATGATGGCGAATTAAGGTGATCTTGTTTGCTTCACATTTAAAGATGCACACTAAATCCAAGGCATGTTTCCAGACGACAGACGGTCAAGCAAGTGAAGAATGATGTCTGCACTTCGTTGGATTTGTTTTCATCGGTCGACTAAACTGTCGCTTAGCAACAAAGCAGCGAAAATTCTATGGTAACCCTAAAATAGATGGCCAACTGCCGTTTTGTGCCTACCAATTTAGCGGAATTGCTAAGTACGACGAAAGCTTTACGTTTGTTACATGTGCACGGTAAAGCAAAGCCTCAGTTTCAGCCAAGTTACAACCATGAATTATTGATAGAGACACTCGTGTGTTGTTGCTTCCTCGTGCACATATTATGGGCCTCTCTCCGAACACTGGGGATACGTAGTGCTCAAGGCGCCAAGATGTACGGCGTTTCAGCACCCCGTGCTAAACATGACACAAAAGCCCTGCCAATTAAATTAAGTCCCCAAGTCGGAACTTCGAATGTAATGTTAAGTAGCATTAGTTTTGACATAGGCGTGCCGAGCAGAGGTGTTGATCCAATGCCGACTCAGTACCACACTTGACCCAATATATTTGACCTGACTCCAGTAACATTGCTACATTCACGGTGTGAGGAAGCTATTGATAATTGTTGGCACGTTAAAGTTACCAGAACTGTTTGTTGCATGTAACCTGTCAATACGTTTAAAACTTTGCATTATCAGCAGCACTGGGCGGAACCAACCTGGCGCGAGTGAATGAACCAATATTGGTTCGGATGGGTTGCTTGTTAAGTTGTACGCTTCGTCCACAGATTGCACATACACCATATATTCCGTGCATGAATCAACTGGAAGTTCAGCTTCCAAGGAAGTGTCGACTCCAGGATTACTTGGGAGGATATATGTTGTGGCACCAAAATTGTTTAGCAGAGTGATCACATATTGAGTAACATGGAAACCTTCTGTCACCTCTGAGTCACACCAGGACAAATGGAGTCGAGTGGCACTGACATTCATCGAAGTCAAATTGAACGGAGAATTGGGCTCTGCGAGGGGAAACGGGAGTGAACGAAACGGCGTTACCAATGAAATCGGTGAAGCGGCGAAAATTATAATATTGATGTTCAGAGTATGTGATGGAAGACACTACAAAGTCTACAGGTTACAAAAAAACAGGAATAAACACATTAAGGATCAAGGAGCTGCACAAAGTGGTTGGAATCGAGGTATTGTCACTGCATGCAGTTGTAATGTGTTAACCACCTGTCTCTGCGTTTTCTTCTTAACAAACAACGCTCCTATCCTTTGGGCTCTCAGAGTACTCACTCCGAATGTAAGCATCTTCGCGTTAGGAAATTTTGCTCTATTATATTTTAAGGACCACCTACCCGGGCTCCTCCCAGCGAAGTCTTGGTGTTACCAAGCGATGATGCAGCAATAAACGGACTCGTTGAAAAAATCTAACCACGCTTTGCCGCGCTGATTTCCCTTCTTTGTGGTGCAGTCCAGCCAGACCCCTACTCAGAAGGAACGTCTAACGGCATATTGTCTGGGATAGTAGCAGCATTTGTTCTCGCAGTTGCTTTCGGGCGCTTTTTCTTTCTTACACTACTGTTAAAGTATTTTTAGTGTTTGCAATCTCTCGAAACGCTGGTAGCTCAGGACGGCGGTACAGTTGTTGGTGTACTCGTCGGCCTGGGCAATTTGCGTGGAGTAAATAAATATTACACCTGATTTACTGATTTATTCCGTTTACTTCCTAAATGTATAGCTATATTAAGATGCTTATGGCCGCGCACTTCACAGCTCTCTCTTAGTGTAGTACAGGTAAGCGATACATCTTGAATATCGTAGAGCCCTTTGAGAGCTAAATGTTTCGGTTGTCATAAAGATCCATTACCATGGAGAGTAGAGCCGTTCATACTGCATATAAATTTAAGTCGCTATCCCAATATAGGAACTTTACATTTGCCACCTCTCTCTGTCGAATCGCATATCGCGTGTCTACGTTCAAGTGTTTTCAGTTGCTGTCCGTTTGGTGTGATCCGCTCAACCTAAGCCTACCTTGCTTGCGGCTATTCTTGGCATGCTACGCGTGACCGACTTTGCTTTGTCCATTGAGCGCTTGCAATCCTGGCCAATTCGTGTAGGTAACTCCTGATCTGCTCCATATTTACTCATCACCCATCCACTCCTTTTGAGCGATTGGCCATTTGTCTTCGCGTCCCGTGACGTTAGCCTAGATTCTTTAGTAAGCATGCTGTTCGGTTATCGTTGTCCTGGTGTTCGGTTCGCAATTGTCTGAAATACGCAATGTTCTCTTTTCTCAAGGGTGTATGGCATATGGTTGATGGCATGCTACGGATAAAAAATGCAGAAGCATCACACTATCGGTTAGGAGCTGCAAAGACAAAGGGCAATCATAAACATGAGCAACCGTAGACAAGGAGTTTGATAAGCAGTCTTATCCTTCTAACACATCTACATATGGTCTAACATATGCATTAAAGCTATTGCTTTACCCGTCGCCGACTGTTTACCTCCAATGGGAACACGGAAGACGAGCCAGGACCGAATTGTGTACACAAGGAATCTGCTTCACTTAAATGGGGTAGATGGTAAGTTGAAGCAAGACTACTAAAACACATTGAAGCCAACTATAAACATAGGGGACGCTGTACAACAAAGGCGAATGAGATAGGGTAGAGTCAAAACCAATCACGCGAGTTCCAGGAAGTGGTACTAGCGGAAATGGGCCGATGAGATAAGATACATTACGAACTACGTGGGTCGTCCAATCAAGGCAAAGAAATAATGTGTTTAAAGATGTCAAGAAATAAACGGTAGTGAAACAAAACCTGCTAACTAATAAATGTAGCAAAACTGTATATCCTGTATTCTCTCTCTTAACAACTATTGCCTTTGGTTTTCTAACACAAACGTATGTGAGTTGATGTGGTTTGTTTTCTGGTGGTTGTATTGGTTATGAAGATTTTATGATGTGGGTTGACGTAACCCACTCAATGTCGACGCGATATCTGAACGCGGTTCATTCAGGATCTAAACTAGCAGATGCTGAGATACAGTTACTGGGGAGGCAAATACATAAGGACATGAATTTCTGACAGCACTCCAGGCGGCAACACTCTTTTGCCAAATTGAGGCTATGGTCTTGCAGTCAGTTGTGAATGAGTTTTAGCAAACTGCTCAAACTCTGGTAACTCATGGCGATGTAGTGCACTGAAAAGTTTTAAAAAGCTTAGTCAAAATTCCTACGGAGAGGGTGATGAATGAAATGGAGCTGGTCTATCTCCGAGTTTGTTTAAAGTTTAGTAACTGCTAACACACATTTTGCCATTACGTACTAAAGATGTCACTGCTTGTGCCGAAATGTCTGCAATTAAACTGATGAGTTCGGAGAACCAATCAAGAATTCAACTGCCAACCCCATCTACCAGTATTCAGACTTATTGTGTTCAAAACGTTATCGACATGGTTGTTAACGGTCAGTTGGCGGTTTGCTCACTTTCCAAGCTTTGATGTTGTCGGTGTAAAATAAACTGTTTAAAGTGATTGCGCTCACTAAAACATTATTTACAATATAGAACATATGGACCCAAAAAGGAACTTTGTTGTACCCAACATTTGGCTTGCATAGGAGATGATATAGATTTAAGCAATTCTATCGCAAGGCGTATGTATAGAAATACGTTGACGATCTCCCGTAAGGGTTTGTAACCAAATTTCGCAAACCCCAAAATATTGGTGAAAATGATACAATGGTGGAAGCTGTGATGCATAAGCTGAATTCAAATACAAACATCCACTATCTCAGTCCAACTGTCCCTTGCTAAGAGTAGATTGGTAGTGCAGATCGATTCTTGCGGAAGCCAAGTTGCTCCGGCATGATGCAGCCAAGTTCGTCCAAGAAAGGCATGGATGGCTCAGCTATGGTATCCTTTAGAAAGTTTGAAGTAAGTAGTAGAACAGTCACTAAACGGTAGCTAGCTGGGTCGAAACAACTGTGTCTATGGTAAACAAGAATTATGGTCTGTTTCCACATTACACCAGTATACGCTTCTTTAAGGCAGTAATTGAGGAATTACGACACTTGTTCAATAAATTCCTTAACTACCACAGCTAGCGACTTCGAGTTAATTTTATCGGTGTCGCAGAAAATGTGTGCGCACACAGACAGGAGATTCCTCATTACAGTGTTGCTAGTAAAACAGATAATGCAAATTTTTCTAGTGACCTGGAACACATTACAAATTTGACGGGTACTGCTACTGAGGAACAATCGTCACTTCTGTAACATCCATATAAGCCCATCTGCTGTTAAAAAAAGATAAAATGCCCTACGCACTATGTGAAGAGTATTCACATGCCTATACAGTGGTTTGTTTTGAAGTGAATAGTTTTGCTAAGACTTGCTGATATAACGCTTTTTCCTCGCGGACTAGATGAATACGATTTTTGAGGAAACAACGTGGGCCTTTTAGGGCCAATTTTGTAGACATTTTTTGATGCGTTTCGTATGGTCATGCATGCGCACGTTCTACTTCATACAAATAACGCCATGTTGCTCGAAAAGGTGACCTTGTGTCAGCTGTACGCCGTAACGGCGTTTCGCTGGCGCGCGACTACCATCAGTCTCGCGCGGGCTGTGTATACCGCGAGGACGCTCACGCCCACGCGGATTCGACTCGGTGACCTTATGGTTGCACACCAGGCGACAGGTGGCCTTTGGTTTTAATGTACCAACAACCGCTGTGTTAAAGTTGCTGACGAAATGTTTCGAGTAATCCTGGTTTTTGTTCAATTTCGTCGTGGACCTCATCATGGAGTGTTTTCTTGCGGAACATCATGATGCAGGCGTTGAGCTCCTGCTTGGTGAAAGATTAGTTGATCTTAATTATGCGGACGATATCGTCTTGCTTTTCGACGATGTTGGAGTGGCACAATCAACTCTGAATAGCCTGTCCAGAGTGGTCCCATTATTTGCTATGCTCTTCGTACCTTCAAAATGCAAAGGGTTGCTGCAGAACCACTAGCAACTTGATGACTCCTTGATCCTTGATAACGAGGATCTCGAGCTGGTTGATCGATTTACTTGCATTGGCAGCTGCATCATCAACGATAAGCGCATAGATACGCAAGTTAGTTTAGGCAATGGAAAGGCCAGAACTGCCTACTTGTACCTGCGGCATCTTTGGCTACAGAAGGGTGTTTGCCGCCGTCTGAAAGGCCGTGTGTGCAAGGCCACAGTGAGGGCTGTCCTACTCTATAGTAGTGAAACTTGGTTCCTTCCGTCTGAAGACTTGAGGCGCCTTCATGCTTTTGTTCATTGTTGTCTGCGAAGTATTGCTGGTGTCGGATGGCACCATCTTGTCCGCAACGATGATGTCCGTAGGCTAGTACTAGGTGGTGATAATCATGCTAGCTCCCTAGAACAACAGATAGCACTGAATAAGTTGCGGTGGCTTGGGCACATGCTACGTATGCCTGGTCACCGCTTACCTACGAGGGCCTTGTTTATGCTGTCAGGTGTGGGGTGGCGCAAGTTTCTAGAGGGACAGAAATTGACTTGGCAGCGGGAAATGAAGTAACAGACGACTAAACTGGCTGCCGTCGGTCAGTCTCGCCTTCCGGGTTGGAGTCCACATGCCCCGCTCTGAGCTTGGATCGAGGCTATAAAAGACATGGCCCGCAACCGACACCAGCGGCGCGTCTGCTGCCGTCTCCTAGACGGATTGCCTACTTAAAGTGAGTTTGGTGTTGAGTTATCTGCGGGGTAATGGCTGATAATGATGCTTGGCAGGGAAAGCCGCACGAAGTTGTCTCGCCGATGCCGCCTTATCTTTGCATGATGTCCAGCTGTTTGTGACTGTATGTTAACACAAAGTGTAGGCGCCTTGACCCTGAATGTTTGTTTGGGGTATTAAGGTTTTCTGGTAAGTCGCCCTCCTCTCCTTCTTATTGTACTTTATTCCTTAGGTCATCTCGGTTGTATGGCAGCGAAGCATCAGTTCAAATCGCTGATGTAATGCTGTTGTTGAGATTGGGTTAAGCGCATCAACCATTGTATCAAAGATGTTGTAACGTGTCATAGCCTTCGTCACTTAGCTTTCCTTCATGCAATATTCTGCATAGTATGTGCGTATTAATAGTAAGTTCTCATCATAGAGGAGTGCCGATGATTGAACTCTCGATTACGGTCCTGTGTTAGGGAAGATCAAATCCGGTGTAGATGTTTCGTTTGCTTCTCGGAGCTGGGTAGGACAAATGATGTGAACACCACGAAAATATGCAGAGACAAGCTCTTTCACAACACCCTTGAAATTTTCTCCTGAGGCAGCTTTAGATAAAGGCATATGTAAGCCGAAATCGCCGGAAGTTGGAGTTTGGCTGTAATTGACCGACACCTGGGTCAACGCAAACGTCAGTTTGAAGGCATTTCTGCTGTGTAAAAAACAGAAGACCACAAGCAAAGTCCACCAGGAGAAGGTGAAGCCCTCTTCTCCGTAAGCGAAACAAGCTGGTATTGAGTCCTGCTATTTCCGAAGCATATCTGGGGTTTTATTTGTGTTTTGTGCGAGCATAATGGGCTACCTCCATCTCTCGGAGGTCGATCATTCCTGATAACGGGCATGCCGTTGAATGCACCTTCGACATATCTTGCGTTTCGGCTTAGTTGGGTTTTCTTGTTTGCATTGAGACAGAAACAATTTTAAAATATGTCGAAATCGCAATTCTGCCAAGTTACCAAGCAGGCTTTGAGCATTTGTTCACACGAGGAGGGCCTTCCACAAAACAGAAGTTCGTCAGAATTGTAGGTGAAACGGATATATTGACGCAGAATGCTGCGGGGTCAATGGTTGATAGATTTTGCAGCAGGTATAAACGTACAATCTGACGAAAGTCCCGATTAATGGCTATTCCACTTCCGGAAAACTAGCACAAATTGTTTGTTTCACAACTGCAGCCAAATCCTTTTACACAGATTTGTGTGATTTGGCTTTGAACCGCCGTGGTATGTAAGCTGTTCTCTTTCACATTGCTTTGCTAATGACATTTGTGAGGATTTGTCGCAGTTAGACTTAGGCAGGCAGCCACGACACATCAGGAAATCGCTAGACGGTCGTTTTGTCCTATTGGGACTCGTCAGTAGCGCGATCTGCCTCAGTCTAACTTCGGCGAAGCTTCACAAACTACCTAATAAAGCCCCTATACGGCTTACAAATAATCAGTAGTTGCCATAGCAACTTACTTGCCGTCACAATTGGTGGAGGATTGCAAAGGAAATCGTGGCTCTGCGGCCAGCCCTATCCTCTGCACACCCAGAACATGCATGGCAGTAGAGGATGCGCCGCGCTTATCACAGTTAGATATCAATCCTTGCGGTCCGCTGCCGTCACCAATGACTCAGTGGCATTAGTCGCGGGCCCACCAGAGTAAGTTGGTGGGTTCGAATCTGGCAGGATTCGACGGGTGCGTACTACTGGAGAGTCCCAATGGGACAAAACTGCCACTTAGCGCTTTTCTGGATGTGTGGTGGCTGTCTGCCCGAGTTTAACTGCGATGTCCACCAATTCCCAGTAAATTCCCCTACTAATTACAAATAAACAGTATTCGCCTTAACAGCTTACATGCCACTTGAGCCTAACTATGAAGAATCTTCACAAAATGCCCAATAAATCCCTTACTAGTTAGAAAGAAAGTGAGATTGTTCGGTGGACGCAGTGCGAAACCTGCTGTCTTCAACACTAAATCCAGAGGAAACCCTGTGCGCTTGTGCACGAGTTCGAACCATTTGTCTGGATTCAGCTACGGGCTTCAGCATCCTTGAGTAGCTTCTCATATGATGAAGAGAAGCAGGTAGTCGTAGTATTGACCAAACTATAACGCTATCCATAGTCATAGTTTAATGAATCTATCTCCACTGCTCCGGGTCGTGCGCTGGGACTTCGTCATCGTTGGCTGCTGAAACCTACGGTATACTATAGATCAGCATAATTTTACCTCGCATTCTCAAGTGACAATGTTGCGGTGCCTTGTTATCTCGTTTGTGCTCGCTACAAGAAATACCTGGAAGTCATGCGTACCTCAATGTGCTGATTACCGAGACGGTGTACCAACAACAGAACAGTGTCAATATCATTGGAGGATCGCAGTGTTACTTTAAAATGTCTGGGCTCATCACAGCGAACCGAGTTTAGACGTCTAGTAAAATACAGTAGAGTAGTAGGGGGAGTTGAATGGTATAGGTAGAACTCCGTCACATCTAGGCTCACTCAGACAGCCGGCACATGCCCGGAAAAGCACTGTACGCGCGTTTCATCCTTTCGGGAATCATCAGCAGTGCGCATTCCATCGGACCCTTGGTAGGGCTCGAAACCGCAACTCGACTGTTGCCAGTCCGTGGTTGAGACCACTGAGCTACGGGGGACGGCAACGACCATCGTGAATAAGTTACTAGATGTGATATAGCGCCGCTCACTATCCACTGACTTACACGTTACTGCCGTGCAGAGGACAGGGTAGCCCCCTCACCAAGCGACGAGCTTAACAAACTTAAGCCGCCAATTATCTTATGGCATTATAAGCAGTTTGTTCTGCGTACTGATTACAGGAGAGTAGTAGGGGGAGTTGAATGGTATAGGTAGAACTTCGTCACATCTAGGCTCACTCAGACAGCCGGCACACGCCCGGAAAAGCACTGTACGCGCGTTTCATCCTTTCGTTTTCGAGCGGTTTCGAGCCCTACCAAGGGTCCGATGGAATGCGCACTGCTGATGATTCCCGAAAGGATGAAACGCGCGTACAGTGCTTTTCCGGGCGTGTGCCGGCTGTCTGAGTGAGCCTATATGTGACGAAGTTCTACCTAAAATACAGTATGCAGTCGGTTTAACTTGAACACAAAACTGGTCACAAACGGTGTTTCACTGGTCTAACAGTCTACCTAGTAATGAAATCTCTTGGTATCCAGAAGTATTGTTTCACACGACTGCTAGAGTTCCGTACTTTTATTTGCTCTCCAGTTGAGGTAGCCCTGGCCGGTGATGTTTGTGACGATGGAAGTGCTTGGAAACGAACCTCGAATTGAGCATTTCCATCGTACTTGCAAGGGCGAAGACCATTGGTGCTTACTCTTGCAAATGTTGTTCAGCGATCACTATGCAAGTTGCAATATCATTGGTGGGGTTTCGGACTCCGTCAGTCGATCGGCATTGTAGGTATTGACAAACGTGTTTCCGTTATTGTTTTTGATAAGAGGATAGAAGGATTGAACTTCACGTGATTCCTTCCATTTTTGTGACTAATTGCTTCAAGACCTGTAACATCTTAGTACGCCGTCGGTAATTCATCGAAACAGGCCGAAAATGAACTTGGCGAAAGGGATAGAGCAAAGTTGTGCGTTCAAGTGTTGGCTAATCTCTCACTAAAAGTTGAAATCTGGCCAGAGCGAAATTCACGGAGACTTTTTCCAAAAGCACGATTGTACTTGATGTAACTCGTCAAGTAAGGAAAGGAAATTTGACAGAGTAAATCAGAAGATATCAGTAATGTGAAAATGTGTAATGGTATGACAGTAGCAAAACACACATGTGCTGGACCGAATTGCTCGGTCTTTTCACGTGAATTGAGATTGCTGTTAAGTGGCTTAGGCTACGCTACTCCGGCCTGCTATACCTTAGTTCTTGGTCAATTTGCATCAGCTAGCTACCAACTACCTTCACTTTGATGAAGCTCCCTTAGTCTCTTACTCCACTAACGCATTACTCACTTTCTATCTTTTGTGCGAAAGCCATTATTTGTTAAATGCAATAAGCGGATACGGTGCTTAGAGGCACACTAGCTGCTGTTTTCCTATAGACCTATTCGTACTGACTGTTACGTATCCTTGAAGCCGAAATTAAGCAAATACGTAGGACTGCCGAGTGAACTAATCTTTGAGAGGCTTGATAGACTTCGTGAATTTAGATTCATCAATGAGCCACGGAACAGCGTGTGAAAAAGAACGAGCATTTGATATGAGCACTTTTTCTAACATTTACTTACTCGACGCCATGGTGCGCAGAACTACCTCGGTGGTGGGTGTACCATGAACTGATCCAGGCTGGTCCATCACTTCCACACTGTAGGCATACTCTGTAAACTCAGCTAATCCGGACAGAGTGAACGCTACGAATGAAAAAGTGCAGGGGAAAAGTAGCAAGAACAATTGCGTCATGTGCATTGCGTTGATAGGAGGCTAACGCATTTGCATACAATATCCTTTCCAAAATTATGCTTCAACTTATGAATGCGCTTTTACGCACCCAAGACGGATGAATTTGCAGCTGGGCATTAAAGCCTGTAAATAGAATCTATGCTTCAGTTGTTTGGACAATACAACTAGCATATGCACTTGATTTGGATCCAGTTTATATTGACCTGTTACTTCTTACTCACATGGTGATATGCCACTTTGTGTTGTCACAATACTGTTAGATGCAGCCACAACAGCAAGCAAAAGTAGAAAACAGAGTAATTCTCAACCCTTAAACCCCCATGGTCTGTGGTATTGCTAACTAAAACCATGAATATTTTTGTTCGTCGCAGTCAGCTGACAATTCAGATAAGTCAACTACCTATCCGGAAAAGCACCAGACGGTCGTCGGCTGACTGCGACGAACAAAAATACTCGCCAAAATCCTTCTACTCATAAGTAATATCAATTCGCTCTTACGGATTCCATAAATGCTATGTCGATTCATAGCTGCCGTAATCGGGAAGTCCTGACACCGGAAGGCCAACCGCTTTCATCTGCATGGCAGGTGCCGGCATGGCAGTGGAGGATGGGTCCGGCTATATCGCAGTTAGCTAACAATTCGTGATGGTCGGCTGCCGTCCTCCATGGCTCAGTTGCATAAGCTGCGGGCGAGTTGGCACAAGCCACTAGCAGTCATGGGTTCGATCCTCCGTAGAGGACCGAAGGATGCGCAGCACTGACGAGCCCCAATAGAGCGAAACGGCCGTCTGGTGCTTTTCCGGATAGTTAGTTGACTTATCTGAATTGTCGGCTGACTGCGACGAACAAAAATCCTGGCCAAAATCCTTCTACTCATAAGTAAAACCATGAATAATACTTGTTTGCCAACTTTGGTCAAGATCACATCACCTGTCTAAACTTACTCGGTTCAGTTGTTTTCACGGTGGACCAGCTTCCACTGGATGCAGCTGACGGTCTGTACCGAACCATATACATGGGACTACAACGACTGTGCATAGCAGTGTGGTTCCATGTGATGCGTTGCGAACCGGGCCGGAGGTTGACGACAACAACGTTAGTTGGAGCACCTCGGTCTAACATTCAGTAAGGAAAGCATAAGCTGATTTAGTGACAGCAGACCAAGTGACACTTTCTAGAGTTGCAACAAAGTATTAGACACAACCCTGAATAACACAATCTTATCTGAATGTAGGCCCTTAATAATTGAACCAAACTCCAGCACAGTGGTGATTAAACTTCTTGTGTTTATTATCCACAAAATGTGTTCAATTTTTCCAATTATTAGGTTAAAGTAAATGCTATTAATTATTGCGTCTTTTGCTTTTAATAACGGGAAATAAATACTATTGCTAATTACTTTCGATCACGCAAGTAAAGAAAATATCCAATTTCAGCAATGTTTGAATAATCAAGAGGTGATGTACGTTAATGAGACAGTTCATACTAATTAGACCTAACAATTTCTGGTATATTGGTGCTGTTTCGGCTAATTCACATTACAAGTCGTGCTTCGTGCTCAATCGGTAACTTATTTTAGTGTGGGATCCCTGATCAACATTAACAGACGCCAGTGGCTTCTCATTTGTTTCAACCAACCACTTCCCGGATGACAGCTTCCCACCACCATTCTGTATCGGTACATTCTGAACACTAATCTACTGCTTTGTCCTTCAATCTTGTAACCCTGTTACTATACTAGACGTACTTTTATCAGCATGTTTCCATTCAGTCTTAAGCGCATAACTGCGCGCCATTGTTAGACAGTGTCCTACTGGTCGTGTAGCGCACTCAGAGTCAAAAACCAAGTCTGGGCGGAGGTCACGAAATCGTTATTAAGGAGATTCGAGGTTATTTATAGAAGACAATTTAAATTCACCATTCCGCTGTGGTCGGTTTCGCTGGCCTGCACTTGTTAGCTGGCTTGTATCATTGGCTGCATTCCATTGGTTTATCTTCGCCCTCCAGACTAGCAGATTCCCGCCTACCGTGTCTGGAGTTAAGTAGGGTCTCGTTGCTGCGACCTTGAATAGAATGCACGGTCGGCAGCCATGAGTGGCGTCTGATTTGCCCTCCGTCTATCCGATTGGAGCTCACGTAGTTGGCCAACTGATATATTGGACCGTGCAGTTAACCAGTATTCGGACGTATGCCATCTGTTCGACGCTCAGCGGACCAATTCGCCTATCAGCTGTCCGACGGCAAGCACTTTTTCCTTTTGTGTTGAGCTGGACACGTCATGCACGCTCACCTCTGATCAGTGACGTCTGATTGACTGCCGATCCGTGGCTTAAAAGCACAACAATACTGCCTTATATTCCGAGGGCGCAGGTTCGAGCCTGTGCCGAGGACCGGGAAACTGTTGATGGTGGCTTGGCAGCGACGCGTTGGTGCTGGTTACCGACGTACTGCTGATCACCTTTCCTTGGTCCATTCGTACGGCTACAATTCCATTCGCCATCAGTATCAGCCGCCAGCACAGGACAAATTTTAAAATTATTGTATAGGTATTGGCGATAGACTTTAAGTTCATACCCTAAGCGATGCCTACCAAATTATTCGGTATGATATAATAGTTGTAGCTGAATTGCACAAAAAGGAAAACATTCTTACTAACAATTTAGCTGTTGCTTAGTTTAATCTGAAATAAGAAGTCCAAGCTTTATATCATAAATGCTGCTATTCGCGACTTTACATCGCTTAGCTCGCACTACTGTACCGTTTGTAGCAAACTCGATAGCATTATTCGGAGTGCTATGATTGGTTCATTCCGTAAATATTTTGCCCTTGTGGGCAGAATAAACACAGTTAGTAAACAAGCTGTTTGTCAGAATAACCTTGTATCGATGTATCACCGCCAGAACTATAGTATGACGTCTATCTTTGACGATGTCAGAAGGGATAAGGTTAAGATATAGTGACGTGATACCCAATTAAGCCCATGAGCTGTTGTTTCATTATGGCAGACAAATATTCCGAGTAAGCCGACAGGTCGTATGGCCACGTAACATCCATACTGGCGTCCGCATGTACAATCATTACTCCTAAGTTCGAACACCGCGACAGTTGCTCACATTCCAATTATTTGAGGAACATCGCTGCGTCTGTTTCATTGACCAACAAGTATGAACCACAGCCTGTTTCAGCTGTCACATAGATATGTGCGCATGGTATGCCGTGCACAAAATGAACATAGTAATCTGCATGAATAGATTAACAGATTTCTTTCGTAAGACGTATGAAGTATGAGGGAACTACCAATTTATCCTGCTATTTCATCACGTATGCTTATTAACAATCATTCAACAGCAAAATATCTGAAGTAGAGTACGATTTCATAACGCATAGTTGCCGTTTTTATTTTATGACTTAGTGACATCCGACCTGGATACTTTGACGCCTTGAGCTAGTGTAGATAATTTTCAAAGCTGCTACCTTGCACTTTGTTGGGCCGATTTTGCACTATATTCCAAGCAAACGTTTACCAATTGACAGTCATCCTCGTAGGCACCCGCATGAACGGAGCGATGTAGAACCCCCCACTTGGTCCAACCAGGGTGGAGCTTGGGAACCAGACTACCCTTCTCAACGGTGCATTTTATCATCGCGTCTAGGAATGTGTGTGACTGCTTCTCAGCGATGATATTTACTAGCAAAAATTAGGGCGGATTAAACAGTTTAGGTGTGGAATGTGATTTACGAGCCTGGCTACATTCATTGGGACAGAACTAGACTAGAAGACGTTACACGTTGATTAGGCCATTGCTTAGCATCCAACCACGAAAATGTCCACCAGTCACCAATTTGTCTTTGATTTCATGCAACATTTACCGACTAGGGAGCACGTACCGGAAAACCTCAGGAGAATGAAGCACAGATACAGACTCAGCCGCGAAACAGTGTACGCGCCTGTTTTTAGTCTTGTACACAATTTTGAAATCTTACGGTGTTAATAAGAGTGAAGAGAAAATATCACATTAGTAAACAAAAAGGACGATGCACCTAGATATTCTTATTTCCAATTGACGATTTATTACCAAAGAAACTCATGCTAATTTAAGCATGAATGTACGTTAATATTTAATGCTCGTTGACCAGGTTACCAGATGTTTATTAATTCTTTCTATGGACCCAAAAATTGAAATACTATGAAAAGCATTTGAGAAGCGAGTGTTTTCCAGGTGGGTTGATGTACGGAGTTGCTCACTCCCATAAAGGTGAATTGCACCGGCAAATAAAAGACATCTACCCTTCCTTCAAGGTGAATCATCGCCTCAGTGCGGATTGCGTGAAGAAAAATCCACGAGGAGCGCACAGCCATCATACAATATAGGCGGATAGCAATTGCCTCGGCTGTTGATAGTAAGCGATATTTTCCCGCGCGCAATGCACAAATCATGACGATGTTTTTTGAAGTTTAAACAACAGGTGTATTGCTGTGTAGTGTCGTTCCAAACGCAGCTAAATCCCTTAACAGTTTTATAAATTAAATGTTCAATCAACACAAGTTCGACATTGAGAAGTGGCATAAAGTTCACAGCCAGCAATTCACCGACAAACAATTAATTAGCAACCAAAAAATGGATCGGCGTTAGGCATCATCTGACCGAAAGCTGGCTGAACATCCAACTCGCTGAAATCAAAATGGTTTTGCCCGGTATGTCCGTTTCGCGTAGACATACCTACTAGAAATTGTGTTATGCTGTAGCAAATCAGCTATCTATATTTCGAATTCCGTGTTAATCCATAGTTCTGATTTGTAACTCGTTGTGGTGCTGCATTCAATTAAAGCTCGGTAATACATTTACTGCCCATCGTTACTACTGTCCAACATCCACTTTAGTAAAGGACAATCATCTAATCGCTACTGGGAAAAGAGTTCTGCAACGGCCTTGCAGCCATGTTCTCCTTGTGCAAAACTTTAATCTACATGTACTAGAGATATTCCCTCCGTTGAATGGGAAGTTTTGTCGGAAATAAATGAGCTAGCCTCTAGTTAAGACAAAAATTAGCGCAATCTTAACGCGCTTTGAAACTAGTCAGTTCAGAATGCTTTAACACGCATTGCAAAATAATGCCGAGTTTTTCAGTGACGCCATGTGCATGTCTGCCCTATTATTTACGGAATGATACATTCCCATCGCCGTTGTTCAAGCACATGCGGAGAAGAAATGAACTGGCTTATTACCATACGCTAACTGCCCATGTTAAATGTCTATCCTCGGCTATTAAAGCTGAGGTAAGAAATTTCAACACACTGTAAACTCAGACCCAGCTGCCCTGACTTGTGAAGGCTTCTAAGACAACTCTCCGGAAAGCATTGCTTCAGAACACGACATTGTGGATGTAGATAAACTTCAGGCTTACCTCCCAACATACCCCTTGCCTTCTGTTACAAATAATGAGTTTTACACTCTATTTGCTTCCACAAGTGTTTACCCGGAACTTACAAGATTGAAGCCAAGTAAGGCTAGTAGACCGGAAGCTCTGTCAGAAGTTGCGCTGACAAGGTGCTCAGATATTTAACAATTCCACTGACATAGATCTTGAATCGGTATTTAAGGACTGGTACCATCCCAGACATTTAAAAATCAGTGCCTACAAAGGATCTCGGAAGTGTCGGTCAATTGTGTTCACGTCCATCCAGCTGAAAGTACTGGAAAAAACAACTGAGCCCACATGTTTTCAAAGGCAATCATACTGATGAAGTTAACAAGTTTGCTTAACCAAGGCACAATAGATTGGATGCCATTCTGGTGCACCAATGCCTTCATGTTGGATATTAGTAGTAGGAAAGTACCACTTCTATTTCTCAATTAAACCAACACCTTTGGGATACTTGACCAATCATTACTACCCAACATTTTTTCCAAAATTGGCGTCCCCTAATATGTTAGTAACGTGAGGAGTGACAGCTTTCTAAACCGCACCCACTTTACGCAACTGTGCAGCAGGAAGTCTTCTGTATTCCTAGCCTAATGCGGGGCTTTATGAGGAGGCATCTTATTACCCCTTCTATTCCTGTATATCTTGGAAGTTTTCAAATCATTTTTCCATCAGACCTCATGTACGGAAAATTGGCT